GTTAACTTGACTATAGTTTGATCAGTTATGCCTCAACTGTATTTGGTTGTTCCGTTACCCGCATGGTAGGCTCCAGTCGGTGGGCGACACCGATGCCAAACTCCGCGTCAGTGCGTTATATGGCTTCGGAGACATTTGTAAAGTATGGTACAGAGCCCCTGAAAACCTTTGCCGTACATCGTTGGGCGTGGTGATTTGAAGTGGAAATCGGAGAAGCAGCCTTCGAAGCCAACCGAATACTGTGGTTCTGTGTTCCAATCACGATCCCCCTGGTCAGGCATCGTAAAGAATTTGGAGGCAACCAAAAAGGTATCTGTGCCGATGGATAAGCGGACCGTTACGCAGAGGATTGATACATGACTCAGTGATTTGTATTAGACGTTGTTTCACGATATGTCTTAGCGCTGCTGACTTTGGGTCCACTTTACTAGAATGTGTACGATCCACCCTGCCAATGTGATGGGTAAGGAAATAGTAGTAGTGAACTTGTCTCCTGATTCATTCTGTTATGTTGTGTCCTTTGCTTCCCCGTCTTTCTTCAGATTCTGGGCAACTTATTGTTTTCAGGATGTTCTAGTATCAGTTTTCCGATTTTCTTTATGTTGCACTTTACAGGGATGTTCTACCAACTCGAGCGTCGGTTCCAACTGCATTTTGATGCAGACTGCAGCTTGCTCGACTGCAGCTAAGCCTAATCAGCAACAGAAACCGCAGCCTCAATCGTCAATTTCGGCTTATTCAGAGGCCGCCGCTGCCACTGCCACAGAAATGGATTGTGAAGAGCCGGGTACAGAGACGGTGACAGTGGCTGCTGTAGATGCGCCCATTGACTACAGCGAGTACACTGAAGAGGAGTTAGAATTGATGCAGAGCCTTTTAGAGGAGAATTCCGGGGGTAACCGCGTTTGCCCGGCAAACATAGATCCTCCTCCCCCTACAGACCATACGACACGTGCGCGTTGCTATGGTCTCAGCTCCCCTCAGGCGTTTCCAAATCACTCCGGCAAATCTTCTAGTCCCGAGGTATTTGAGGTTGTCACCCCTTAACACTTTTTCCGTCATTGTAACAATCACGAAACGCCTTCAATTTTAGTTATTTACTAACTAAGTCGCATAAAATTTTGTCATATCTCTCCATTTGTGTGTATATCCTACCGTTAAAGTC